GATAAGGTTCCATCATTCGAAAATAAGTTATTAAAATCTCAGGAGGTTCAAAACTACTAAATTTTATCACACAGAATGCAACAAATAAAGGTTACAGAAATGGGCTCTACCACTTCACACTTTGGCAATTGAAAAATAAAATCTAATCAGTCAAATTCTCAGTATCACAACTTCATTTAACTGCAGTAGATATTGTCTTTCAAGATAACTGAATAAAATAAATATTCTTTAAAACAAGAGTGTAGGGAGTCTATTTCCTACCGACTCGCATGAACAATTTTCATTTTTTTTATATACTGCCTGAATGACATGACTCGAGAAATATTTGTCACTGGACATCAATTTAAAAATTAAAAAGAAAACAAAGAACTCGAAATTAAGGATCTGTATGACACCGTACGGCCCTTCTCAGACAGTGAGCAAAACTCATACCATATAGAATTTATAAAATGCCCCGACATGACATAATTTGGAAAAATTAAAAAGACAACACCTTTAAAAATTACAAGCTCCTGACTTGCCAGGACAGTCATAGAATGAGGAGGGTTTAAACCTATTTGAGATAGCTCAACCCTCATGCGGTCACCAATCCTGGAATGTAAGACTGAGAAAATCCATATCCTTTGCTTTATAGGATAGGACTGGGCCTCCCCCAACCTGGACAGTGAGGTAATAACATGCACAAATTGTGAAAATTAAAGTTAAAATCAATAAGAATCATTGGATCTAGTGTAACGCAGTTATAAACAGTCAGAGAAACATCATGAACTTGTGTGATACCAAAATATACGTACATAAAATCGAGAGAAAAAAAGGCACGACCATAACTATGCATTAAAGCAATCTATGTATGTAGCAGGGAATTTATGTTTTTTTTTTGTTCACATCTCATCCTTTTTTTTTCATTCATTTCCAATGTTTGTTGACTTGATATATAGCCTGGTTAAGGATGTACTTATGTGATGTTTATGAATTTGTGTATAGCTTGTTATGTTTCTTTACAAAAGCTTCTCCGACTTATAGTATCTATCTATCTATACTACTTAAACGAGAAGACCTCATTTTGTTAGTCGCTTCTCTTCCTTCCACAATAAATTAATCATCATGACTCTGTGTTCTATAGGTTCCATGCATAGTTGCATTTGTCATCTATTCTTATGATTCTACTGTTTGGGTTATTTTAGGAGAAATCAATTTAGCAGTGATCGCCGTGTAGAAGAAACTTTGAATTGATAGTTTATATCAAATATACTTTATTGATAATAAATGTATGTTCATAGTATACAGAAACGCCAAAATAATGGTATTTAACAGAAAACAAAAAATATAACGCACTTTGGAGAAAAGGGAGAGGGCTTGAAAAAAATTGTCCTGTCTCCAGGAGTCCCTATGAATTTTGATACCTTTTCTGAAATTATCCAGATTTATAAAAAGAGATGGACCATTTTGTACATATACCAAGGGGAAACTTCGTGCAAAGCATTATTATTTATAGTTTAATTGAATTTAGTAGAAAAAGAAAATTTGGTGAAAATAAAACCAAGATTTTTTTAGAAAATCCAGATTTTAAGACCGAGATTTTTATACGATTCCAATTTTTTTTTTTTTTGGGGGGGGGGGGGGGGGGGGGATCGTATAATGGTATGATGTGGTTGTTGTCGTCTACGTCGTCCGAAGACGCATTTGTAGTTTCTGGACTATAACTTGTGTGTAAGTGTATGGATCTCTCTGACATTGTACCACAAAGTTCATATCACAAAAGGAAGGCTGGGATTGAGTTTGGGGGTAATTGTCCCATTCATGAAGGAATTCGGGGCCATAAAAGGGCCAAAAAACATTTTTTTAGTTATTCTAGTGTTTCAGACAACAACTTGTGATTAAGTCACTGTATGGATCTTTCTGAAATTGTACTACAAGTTTCCATACTACAAAGGAAAACTGGGATCAAGTGTTGAGGTTATTGCACCAAAGGGCGGGGTGGGGGGGGGGGGGGGTGGCCGGGTTGTGAGTTCAAAAAGTTTGCAGGTTTCCAATTTTTTTAAAGGGGTTTAATTTTTTTTTCAAAATTTTTCAAATTTTAAAATATTTCAAAAGTTTCAAGAACAAATCTTTAATTGCACAGTATTGCCCAATAGATTTGAAAGACCTTTACACATGTTTTGTGTCAGAAACCTATATTATGTCAAAAATTTGATCACAATCCAAATTCAGACAGTAATAAGCTTGAATATTGTGTCAAAATTTGCCCTAACTGTTCTTGGTTCAACTTCTGCGGTTATATCAGGCTGCGCTCAGCGCCGAAGCATTTTATTTTTGTTATAATATTTTAAACATATATAACTCAATTAAAAAAATCATTGCTAGCACTGAATGCAATAATCCTTCATCAATAAAGCATCGAATCGCCAAATATGACAGTACAAGGGAAAAGCTGTGGATTTTCTAAAAAAAAAAAAAATCCATATGTTTAGCATTTAATCAACACAAGGGTACATAATCCTTAAAAGCCTTTGAGAACGTAACTTTATAGCAAGGAACTATAATGTATGCAGATTTTCTTTGAACACATACGAAGGTCTTGAATATTGGGGGGGGGGGGGGGGGGGGGGGGGGGGGGGGGAGGTCTTTCAAACCTAAATGTCTTTTAATTTGTTAGTCATCTGTTTTTCTCTATTCTTCATATTTTTTTCTCATTATTCTATATTCTTTATTTTCTTGGCGTCTATGTTTCTTTACTTTTCTGGTCCTATGTTGTGCACTTTTTGTCCATTTGTGTTCTCTATTCTTCTATAAATCCTATCCAGACCCTCACAAACATACATAATCAATAAGTTCCGCTCCTATTACCTAACCCCACTTGACATGGATATAGATAATTGTCATCCATGGGGTTTTCTCATCCGTTTTGAATATAACATTGCTATTAAAACGGGTACGTTATAAAAAAAGAAGACGTGGTATGATTGCCAATAAGACAACTCTCCACAAGAGAAATTACACAGAAATTAACAACTATAGGTCACTGTACGGCCTTCAACAATGAGCACAGCCAATATTGTATAGCCAACTTTAAAGGGACAATATACTAGGAGTCCATTACATCAGATATAACATATAGAGATGTATAAATACGCAGTCACGTATATGTCCGATGCTAAATTGTTGACTTTGTTGGAAGGCAAAATGATTAGCCCTATACTGACTGGAACTAGAATATATATAACTGAAACTAGATGAAAATCAAGGAATCTACACATGCTGTAATAGCAAATCTGAACGGAACCAAAACGCATGTTTGTAAAAAAATAAATAATATACAACTTCCATTTCAGCAACTGTTATATTAGTAATTATTAATGATGTAGTTCGTGAATAAATTGTCCTACACAGTGGAACAAATGGACAGTCTAAGTACGTTAATGTCTGGATTAATATTTCTGCAAAGACGTTGTCATTTTATTGTTTCCATTAACCGACTTAAATAAAAATCAAATTATAACTTTGTAATGATTATAAATGTTTACCTTTTGAAATAAATTTTGTTTTATTGAATATATTTACGGGAAAAAAAGAACTCAAATGTTTTATTTCCATGTATTTTATGACATATTAAAAAACATCTTTGTGTAAAAGAAAAATCGAATCACATCAAATTTTGATCGGCCGTAAAATAAACTTCACATCACTTTATTTATATCACAAATCAATTTACAAAAACTTCTCAACGATGGCATAATAGAAAGCACGAGTGATCTATCTGGCGGACCAACTTGTGGCTAATGATTGACAGGTATGATTAGATCTTGAGGCTCCTATGGGGAACGTGGTGTCGAAAGGAAAATAGAAGATTATTCAATTATAATTTTTAGGACTCGTACGAAATGTGATCTGATATGGAAAATTTTGAGTTCTTTTAATAGCACAAAGAAACAAGACGTTAGAAGGGTAACAATTGTGTAACTATAAACCAATGACTCGTATGTACTTTACGGGAAAGATTTTATCAAAAGTTTGTTGAAAACTTTCAATTTCAAACCTTCTTGGTTGAAATGAATATGTTCGATTTATATGCAAATAGGTCTTTATTATATAATATATTTAAATTATCTTCATTAATTACAACACAATATATAACATGTATCTATGATATCCTCCATAACGACTAAATATATGTACAGGTAAAATTAAATTCTGATCAATCGGGTACAGATTGATTTACGACCTTCCACTGGTATTGCACAAACAATATCACAGCAGGTGTTAAATACACTAGGACAAGTGTCAGATCAGTTTGACATCCTGCTCGATTACGGTATCTTCCGGAGACTCTATTAGTTCAAGGACTGATTTTTTTTTCTAAACATGACAATTGTGAAGAATTTTTTAAAGTGAGAACAAAGTTTCTGACCCAAACTATCGATTCACATTATGATTCTATCATGAATAGTAGATTAGTTTACGTTTTTTAACGTAAATACGATTTCCATTCATATATTAAAAAAAATGTAGTTGTCTATAGCAAAGATAACACGTGTACTCATCTTGTTCATTGGTAACATTAAAATAGATTTTTCTTTAATGAACAATGACAACATTTGATATTTAAATCGTAAGTAACTTTATAATCAAAAACACCGTTTTATCTCGACCGAAAAGGGAAATAAGATAGTTTTTTTTAATCTGACTGTAAACATTGTATATATCACAACGATCTATTAATAACCGTCGCTCACGCATAACGGATTCTATAATCATCTATGTACAACGATCTATTAATAACCGTCGCTCACGCATCACTGGTTCTATCACTGACTCAATACACACCCGTTTTATCGGATAAACGGCTTATTCCCGATGACACGGAAAATCTCCGGATAACATGCGTAATATTCTGTAATACAGCAAATTTACGATGAACCTCTAATTATTATCCGTTTCGCGGAGATTAGCCAAAAATCGCGGGCATTTTCCAAATAGGTCTACCAGTGATAAATGTCCGCAATGGTAGCAGCCTGCATTATCAGAGCGAAGAAACATATCTGTCACCTGAGGTAGTTGGATTTTAACTGTTTGCAGCACGTGTTCCAACAGTGATGCCACTGCAAACCAATCTTGTTTAACATTCTCAAGAACATGAGTAAATGTCCTATGCTGAAATAAATTATTGTAATAATGTATTTATCTGATATCATTCTTACTATCCAAAACTTGTTTGTCCTTAAAATACTGTAAAAAATGAGTTCTTGTATTGTCCATTGTCTTTGAACACTTCATTGAAGACCTTAATTAATTGTTACATTTTATTAGTATCCAATATTTGTTAACATACAATTACAGTGTTTGCCATCTTAAAATCAAGTTTTACATCGGCCTTTTATAAGTTTGTGAGTGAATTGGTCCAGTTTATACAACAATAAATTCCTTTAAAAAGGCGTTTAATCCTACAGTATTTTCTTTTAAAGAATATACTGTATTGTCCAAATTTACACTTCTGTTGAAATCATTAGTCATACTAAAAAGATATGTGTATCATATCGATTTCAGAATATAGTACAGTGAATCAGACAAATGCTTTTTATTGCTTTAAAGATAAATAGTAATGAGGTTTTATTATCATAAAATTAGTTACCCCAATTTCACCACTTTCATCTCTATAAATGCAGACACTGACATGCCAATGTTTTCCCCTTTGGCCAAACCAATCTGTTTGTTTCTCTCTGTATCTCATTGGTAGAAATTTCATGGCCCAGTCCATCACTAAAACTCCTTCAAATCGCTTTAAATTATCCAGCTTTTGAATTCTAAAAAGATCTTGATTAACATTTCTAGCAATATGAGCTTTCTAGTCATTGATTTTCTGTAATGCATCCTGGAAGTTTTTGGTGGTATCCTCTTTGAAGTCATGATCTCCCATCTTACCAATACCTTTGAACACATCATGCTCTATGCCATGTAACATTTCACACCTATCACACACTAATGTATGAATGTGCTCACAGGGACTTTGAAAATGACAGTTTTCAGGGTCACTCAAAAGCCATTGAAGACAATGGTCAGCACACAGGCAGTCTTTTTCCAGATGAAGTTTATAATCGGTTTTGAAATAAAGTTTTGCTGATGTGATATTTTTTGTATCTGTTCATGTTCTTCAGTTGATAGAATGGATCTTTCATAAATCTGTTTTGTAATTTCTTTTAGTGATTCAAAACCTTCAATTCCCTCAGCTGCAATATTGTCTAAACCGTGTAAATTGGTGCATTTAGTAGCAGCACAAGTATTTAGAATTTTAAATAAAGTTTATTTAGAAAGTGGTTCAAAATTTGATTCTGTGCAGTATGAAAAGTACAGGTCTATAATTTTGGAGTGATTTGTTGTTCTGATTACATCTGGTATAGTAATATTTTCCCCTGAATCCAATTTCAAATCTCTTGTACCATAGGATACTAGCTGCATAAATGAAGTGTCAAAAAAAAAACTTATGGCATGTTCCAGCTTGCTATCATCCATTCTTTGACGTGGTACTTTTATTTTATTTTTGACTTGTAGACCCAAATTTGTAGAGGTATTGAAATGAAGTCGTGTCTGGTCTATACGATACATTGTTATACCTGGTATTGCTATTTGAAGTTCTGCTTTGGTTAGTCTATTTGTGATAACAGATAGAATTTGCATTTTTAAGGAATTGTCCACTGTTTCCATGTAGAGTTTTGATAGATCTTCTATCATATCACTGTCTGTTGGTAAAGATTTGTCTCTGTTTTTAGTTAAAACTTCATCTTTAAGTAAGTGTCCTTGTTTTGGAGCCATAAAATCCAACAATGAATCAATAGATTCATGTGCTTTCCGCTTGTAATACCTGATTGTTGAATCTTTTACATCTTTAACATCGTTTTGAAGTGTAGAAGGTAAGGGGCTCACATTGATTGATTCCATTACCACATTAACTTTCTCCAGTGCAAGTTCACTACAATCACTCCAATTAGAAGTCTGGGAGTTTGTGGTCTGGGAGTTCTTTTGTGAATTCTGAAATAATATGTATAAACATAAATAGACAATAAAACAAGAAGCTCCTAGAAAATATGAAGAAAAAAAACAAATAGTTATCTTGGTGTAGTCAGGGGCTTACAGAATTTAGGAAGATAACAAACATATTTCTTTTAAAGGTACAAAATACTTGTGTTACTGTCTTAGCAAACATAAATGAATAATTTACCTCGGTCCTCCCTTTTACAGAAAATGTCAGTTACTAAAACAATGCATTGGAACAAAATATTCTGCTTATTTTTCAAATTAAAAATGTAATAATAAATTACACAAATTATTGAAATTATCATGGATATCTATTAAGATTTATTCATTCATATTTCTGTGTGTAATTATATAACTATTAATTACCCCCGGGGTAAACAAGAATGGGGTGTTATTTACATCCTGGTAGTCAACCAATCAGATTGCAGGATACATAAATTTTAATATACCTTAGGGTTTCTATGTAAACTTTGACTTCGCTTAGGCCCATTTTGAATTCCCATTAGTCTATTTGCCAATTACCAAATTTGACTTCGTTCTTTAAAATTTCCACTTTAAGGGAAGTAATTCAATCCAAAATTAGATCATGTGACACCAGACATGATGCCTGATTTACTGAACAAACCCTTATAAAAACGGCATCTTGTAATGTGATATCTATTTATATGTTACACAAAACACATTTACAGATAAAATGTCGCTATTATTTCAACCATGTACACCAAAAATGAAGTTTTGAAACCGTACAGGTTGAGTGAAAATGATTTTTACATATGGTTAGTTAACGTTGGAAATCGCAGAGTGTGACCGGGGCTAGAGTTGCTCCCCTTTGTATGAAGTGTAAAATTTTAAGTCAAATTTGGGTATTCCATGCTAATTGGCAAGTGGGCTATTGACACCAAAATTAAAACTCTTATTCCAAAACCTTCATAACTGCATATCTGGGTATGCTCGGATTAAAATTAAGTACTGCTTTTTAGAATAAATGATCAAAGAAAATTGGAAAAAAATTATCAATCTGTCCTTATTGGACTGCTAACAAGACTAAAACTATGGCAAGCCATTTTACTATTTATTCTAACTAAGATATCTAATTAACTTTAAAAGATATTTCATCTAGTTTATAAGATATCTTATGGAGTATATAACATATCTTATAGAGTATATAACATATCTTATAGAGTACATAACATATCTTATAGAGTACTAGTATATAACATATCTTATAGAGTACTAGTATATAACATATCTTATAGAGTACTAGTATATAACATATCTTATAGAGTACTAGTATATAACATATCTTATAGAGTATATAACATATCTGATATAGTTTATAAGATATCTTATATAGTTTATTAGATGTTTTATATAATTTATAAGATATCTCATATATTTTTCTTTATAAGATATCATTAATTGACAAGCTTTCTTATACATTGTCTTGAATCATTAACTTACAGTAAAACTATCATAATCTTCAGTGTTGCTTGGTAGTACTTCATTTAAAATCTTTATATTTATTCAATCTAAAAATTGTAAACATATGATGTAACATATAAGTTTCTTTTCCGAGTTTTCAACTGAACCATTTTATTCTATATATAGTTTTTTTATATACATAAATATAATAAAAGTAATTTGTTGTTTCTGTATATATGTATTGTACAAATTTGATGAGTTTATCCATTTTCAATTATATTTTTAGAGTTTCTTTTTATATTCTATTGTTCTACCACTGTCTCGGGTTAGGGTGAAGGTAGACACTGGCTAAAACATTAAAACAGGTTGCATTTTGGTCTCTGGTGGAGATTTGTATCATTGACAGTCATCTGATAAGTTAAGCCTTTTTCAACTGATTTTTATAGTTCGTTCTTATGTTGTACTGTTACACCACTGTCCCAGGTTAGGGGGAGGGTTGGGATCCAGCTAACATGTTTAACCCCACACATTATGTATGTATGTGCCTGTCCCAAGTCAGGAGCCTGTAATTCAGTGGTTGTCGTTTGTTGCTGTGTTACATATTTGTTTTTCGTTCATTTATTTATACATTAATTAGGCTGTTAGTTTTCTCCTTTGAATTATTTTACATTTGTCCTTTTGGGGCCTTTCGTAGCTATGCGGTATGGGCTTTGCTCATTGTTGAAGGCCTTACGATGACCTACAGTTGTTAATTTCTGTGTCATTTGGTCTCTTGTGAAGAGTTGTCTGATTGGCAATTACACCACATCTTCCCTTTTTGTCGAGCCTTCGACTTTAGTCGAAAAAGCGAGACATAGCGATCCTACATTCCGTCGGCGTCGTCATCGTCGGCGGCGTCCACAAATATTCACTCTGTGGTTAAAGTTTTTGAAATTTTAATAACTTTCTTAAACTATCCTGGATTTCTACCAAACTTGGACAGAAGCTTGTTTATGATCATAAGATAATATCCAGAAGTAAATTTTGTAAAAATAAAATTCCATTTATTCCATATTTTACTTATAAATGGACTTAGTTTTTCTGCCGGGAAATATTACATTCACTCTGTGGTTAAAGTTTTTAAAATTTTAATAACTTTCTTAAACTAACCTGGGTTTCTACCAAACTTGGACAGAAGCTTGTTTATGATCATAAGAGTATCCAGAAGTAAATTTTGTAAAAAAAATAATCCATTTTTTCCTTATTTTACTTTTAAATGGACTTAGATTTTCTGCCAGGAAACAACACATTCACTCTGTGGTTAAAGTTTTTAAAATTTTAATAACTTTCTTATACTATTTTGGATTTGTACCAAACTTGGACAGAAGCTTGTTTATGATCAAAAGCTAGTATCTAGAAGGAAATTTTATAAAAAAATAAATCCATTTTTTCCGTATTTTACTTTTAAATGGACTTAGATTTTCTGCCAGGAAACAACACATTCACTCTGTGGTTAAAGTTTTTAAAATTTTAATAACTTTCTTATACTATTTTGGATTTGTACCAAACTTGGACAGAAACTTGTTTATGATCAAATGCTAGTATCTAGAAGGAAATTTTGTTTTCTTCCAGTTAACATTACATTCAGTCTGCGGTTAAAGTTTTTAAACATTTATTAGATTCATAACTATCCTGGATTTTTACCAAACTTGGACAGAAGCTTCTTACAATCAAAAGATAGTATCAAGAGGAATATTTTTATTGATTAACTTCCTCATTTTTGTTGAGCCTGCGATTAACAGAAAAAGTAGGCGAGACACTGGGTTCCGTGGAACCCTTACGCTTTTTTTTTATATTATTCATCCTTCAATGTAAACTAATGAAATTAAAATCTAATTGATGTGGGATTGTGGAAGGGCACTTTTTTTTTGTTTAAATTTGTTTAAAAACATCCCTCTAAAAATGTTAGTCTATGTAATTTTTTATTAGTAAAATACCTGTTTTGGACGTAATCTATATTTGTTATGGTCTGCAATCTCACATATGTCATCTTGATCAGTTTCAATCTAAGGAAAAAAACATTTAAAAAAAAAACATTGATTACTTTCCATATAAAATAAACAGAGAATGTCTCCATACGCCAAAAATATCTGCATGCATATATATAATGTTATAAAGGGGCATAAATCTAGAACTGTTATGGTGACACAACCAAATTCAATTTAATCTGTGTTTTGTGGTAACAAGAGTGCACACGCTGAAATGTCTCGCCTTCTTTACTAACCATTGATTTTATGTTGATAGTCCTAAATATAAAGCTTTACTACAAGTAACACATATATATATGATAAACTTAACATGATCAAAGAAAATGAGGTCAAGGTCAGATAAACCAAACGAGAAATACCTGTACACCTTACAATCATTCAATAAACCAAACATAGTTGACCTATTGCTTATAGTTCCTAAGAAACAGTCTTAACCAAAAAAACTTAACATTGACCAATGAACCATGAAAATGAGGTCAAGGTCAGATGAACCTTGCCAGACAGATATGTACACCTTACAATCAATTTATGCATTAAATATAGTTGACCTATTGCTTATGGTATCTAAGAAACAAACTTAACCATGAAAACTTAACATTGACCAATGAACCATGAAAATGAGGTCAAGGTCAGATGATACTTGCCAGACAGACATATACACCTTACAATCCTTCCATACAACAAATATAGTTGATCTATTGCTTATAGTTGAAGAAAAACAGACCAAAACACAATAAAATGCTCCGCAGGGCGCAGCTTGATACGACCGCAGAGGTCGAACCCTGAACAGTTGGGGCAAGTATAGACACGACATTCAAGCTTGATACAGCTCTGAATTTGGATAGTGATTAAATATTTGACACAGCATAGGTTTCTGACACAGAATGAATGTGGTCTAAGAACTTTAAAATTTAAAATTGGACATTCACCTATTATGGTCCAATATCCAAAATCTAAATACATGGTTAGATTCAGCAGATCAAAGAACCCCAAGAATTCAATTTTTGATGAAATCAAACAAAGTTTAATTTTGGACCCTTTTGACCTCAATGTGGACAAAATTGATAACGGGGCCCAAAAATCTAAATACATGGTTAGATTCAGCATATCAAAGAACCCCAATAATTCAATTTTTGTTGAAATCAAACAAAGTTTAATTTTGGACCCCGATTTGGACCAACTTGAAAACTGGGCCCATAATCAAAAATATAAAAACATGTTTAGATTCAGCATATCAAAGAACACTAAAAATTCAATTTTTGTTAAAATCAAACTAAGTTTAATTTTGGACCCTTTGGACCTTAATGTAGACCAATTTGAAAACGGAACCAAAAATTAAGAATCTAAATACACCGTTAGATTTGGCATATCAAAGAACCCCAATAATTCAATTTTTGATGAAATCAAACAAAGTTAAATTTTGGACCCTTTGGACCTCAATGTGGACCAATTTAAAAACGGGGCCCAAAATCCAAAAACTTAATACACGGTTATATTCAGCATATTAAAGAACCCCAAGAATTCAAGAATAAAACCCCATTGAAATTGATCAAGAAATAAACAATTTATAAGAAGTATCTTCTTTTGCACAATACTGTGCAATTGAATATTTCTTGCTATTGCGCAATACTGAACAATTGACAATTTCTTGCTATTGCGCAATATTGTGCTATTGGATATTTCTTGCTATTGCGCAATACTGTGCAATTGAAGATTTCTTGCTATTGCGCAATACTGTGCAATTGAAGATTTCTTGCTATTGTGCAATACTGTGCAATTGAAAATTTCTTGCTATTGCACAATACTTATTATATAAAAATTTACACATCCTGTTTGGTGTGTATCTCCTACCATATCATTATTATTTGCTTTTAAATATAAATCAGAAATAACCAACTTAAAATGGAAAATTTCAAAAGAAAAAAAAAAGGAAAAAAAAAAAAAAAAGAAAAAAAAAATCCCCCCCCCCAATTTTTTGAACCCCCTTATGATTCATCACCCCCAAACTCAATCCCAGCCTTCCCTTTGTGGTATGGTACCTTGCAGTACAATTTCAGAGAGATCCATACACTTGAACACAAGTTATTGTCTTGAAACTAGAAAAATGCTTATTTTTGGCCCCTTTTTGGCCCCCAATTCCTAAACGTTTCAGGCAATTACCCCCGAACTCAATTCCAGCTTTCCCTTTGTGATATGGAACCTTGTAGTACAATTTCAGAAATATCCAAACACTTACACACAAGTTATTGTCATGAAACTAGAAAAATGCTTGTTTTTTGCCCCTTTTTTGGCCCCTAATTCCTAAAATTTTGAGGCAATTACCCCCAAAATCAATTACACCCTTCCTTTTGTGATATGGAACCTTGTGGTACAATGTCAGAGAGATCCATACACTAACACACAAGTTATTGTCTGAAAGTTACAAAAATGCTTATTTTTGGCCCCTTTTTGGCCCCCATTTCCTTAACTGTTGGTACCATAACCCCCAAAATCAATCCCAACCTTCCTTTCGTGGTATTGAACCTTATGGTAAAATTTCATGAAGATCCATTCACTTAAACTAAAGTAAGAGTGCGAAAACCAATGTGTCTTCGGACGACGCCGACGACGCCAACGTCATACCAATATACGACCAAAAAATTTTTAATTTTTGCGGTCGTATAAAAACTTAACACTGATAAATGAATCGTGAAAATGAGGTCAAGGTCAAATAAAACCTACGAGACTGACATGTACATCATAAAATATTTCCATACACCAAATATAGTTGACCTATTGCATATAGTATTAGAAAAAAAGACCAAAACTCAAAAACTTAACTTTGACCACTGAACCATGAAAATGAGGTCAAGGTCACATGACACCTACCAGTTGGACATGTACACCATACAATCATTCCATATACCAAATATAGTAGACCTACTGCTTATAGTATCTGATATATGGACTTGACCATGAAAACTTAACCTTGTTCACCGATCCATGAAATGAGGTCGAGGTCAAATGAAAATTGTCTGACGGGCATGAGGACCTTGCAAGGTACGCACGCACATACTAAATATAGTTATCCTATTACTCATAATAAGAAAGAAATTAACATTACAAAAAAAGTTGACTTTTTTTTCAAGTAGTCACTGAACCATGAAAATGAGGTCAAGGACAATGGACATATGACAGACGAAAACTTAGTAACATAAGGCATCTATATACAAAGTATGAAGCATCCAGGTCTTCTAGCTTCTAAAATATAAAGCTTTTAAGAAGTTAGCTAACGCCGCCGCCGCCGGATCACTATCCCTATGTCGAGCTTTCTGCGACAAAAGTCGCAGGCTCGACAATAAGCATTGTGTTTAAGTTTCATAACATTTAGTTGAAATCAATACAAATGGACATGGGTCAAATTTAATGTTCCCTTCGGTTAGCAGAGGGGGCATAAAAATCTAAAAATGAAATATAACGCAAAATATTTCAGATTACAGTTTTAAAATGTATTTTCTAATCATTGTTAAGATGGTAAGCACATCTAGTTATTGTCAGGTTGTCTCCTTGACACATTCCCCATTTCCATTCTCAAATTCTCAATTTTATTGATTGGCCTTGTAAACAGCTGACAGGAAAAATAACAATGAATGATTCAACCAAAGCTTTAGTATTTTTTAATTTATAACGTTGTTACTGTTTTTACCTTATCATGTGTCATAACAGGCTTTGTGGTATTTCTTTTATCCTGGCTCTTTTCTTCAGTGGTATCTTTATTTGACTGCCAAAAAAATAGATAAAAATAAAGTGGTCATACTATATGCCAGCACATTTTATGTTAGCTTCTGGATAATTGATCCTATGTAATTGTTATAGCTCCTGCAAATAATTTTTCATGTGTCTGTTATAGCTCCTGCAAATAATGTTTCATGTGTCTATTCGCAGGCAATGAAGATAACGTCATAGTTCATGTATATATATGTATCTTAATATAAAAGCTTCTTACAAAATAAGGAGTAATAGATGATTTTATTATCAATGTTAAATTAAAACACAGTATTCAGTATAAACTTAAGCTTGAGATTTTTCATAAAAAAAAATGATATTTGTATATTTTTACATGTGTTTCTTAGGAACTGAATTTATCTTTTTATAATTATCACTTTGTTAGGGTTCTACCTCTCTACTATATACCTTGACATGAATAACCTGAAAATATTTGATAATCATTCAATTGCATTAATATAAATAATACATCAGATGACAATCAAGGGTATATATCTAATTGTTTATTTTTGGATTTGTCTATTTTGTTTATTTATGAATGTTTATACTGCTCTATTCAGGGTACCATGATTGGATTAATAAAAAAATGTCTAATAGAATATATATCTAATTAAAAAAAACAGTGATAAGCAATTTAACTATAAATGAAAGGAAATCTTATGACACAAAAACTTGCATGTACCTCTGTCTTAACACTGCAAGCATTTAGTAGTTCTGATATCTCACTGATGCACTGACGACAAATTCCTACAAATCAAAAAATATTTATTAACTTTTTGTTAATATTACATGCAAGCTTAGAAGTATATAATGTAAAGTATATAATGTAATTTACTTCAACAATATACACCTTTCCTACATTTGTACACTCATCATGTGTATACCCTACTTAAGCAAACAATGTATTCCTATCGAAGGTCGTTGGTTTTCTCCGGGCACTCCGGCTTCCTCCACCAATAAAAACTGGCCGCCACGAAATAGCCCAAAAGCGGTGCTTAAAAGTGGCGTTAAAACACAAAAAATCAAATCAAACAATGTAAATCAATAATTAACAATGTACAGTTTATTTGAGTATTAAAGTTTATCTGATAATTACTAATCAAAATAATTTTTATAGAATAAAAAATGGAAAAAGTGAATGTGTCAAAGAGACATCAACCCAACCAAAATGTAAAAAACAATTCAAGGCCGCCAATGGGTCTTCAACATAGAGAGAAATATTTATACTGCAGTCGTTCTATTTGAGCAGTCAAAATGCGTTGACTGTATATTTTTATGTCATATACAGTCTCTGACCGTATATCACCTTGTCTGTGATGTTGACAATGTGTTGCCGTAGATTTTTGTCTCGCCTTGACGGAGTCAAAAAGCGAGACATAGGTATGCTCTTTCCGGCATCAACAATGTATTAGTTTGTGATTAGGTCTAGTTTATGGTGAACCACAAGTGGTAGGTTAATGATATTTGGTATGCAGTTGTATTAGCATTGGCACATCTCATTTCCATGGAGATTATTTGGCCCTGCCCCCTCAGTCATGGTCTATTGACTTTGAAACTTTTGCTTAGTTTACATGTATTAGTTTGTGATTAGGTCAGTTTATGGGGAACCACTAGTGGTAGGTCAATGACATTTGGTATGCAGTTGTATAAGCATTGGCATATCTCATTTCCATTGAGATTATTTGGCTCTGCCCCCTTAGTCATGGTCTATTGACTTTGAAAATTTTGCTTAGTTTACATGTATTAGTTTGTGATTAGGTCAGTTCAAGGGGAACCATTATTGGTAGGCCAATGTTAATTGGTATTCAGTTGTATAAGCATTGGCACATCTCATTTCCATGGAGAATATTTGGCCCCACCCCCTCAGTCATGGTCTATTGACTTTGAAACTTTTGCTTAGTTTACATGTATTAGTTTGTGATTAGATCAGTTTAAGATGAACTGCTAATGTTAAGTCAATGATATTTGGTATGCAAATTTATTGGCATTTCAAGTATCATTTCCATGGAGATTTTATAGCCCCACCCCCTCATCATGGTTCATTGACTTTGAAACTTTTACATAGTTTACAAATTAATGTTTGGGTTTGGGTTTGGTCAAAGGGAACAACTTATAATAAGTCAATGGTATTTGGTATGCAGTTGTATTAGCATTGGCACATCTCATTTCCATAGAAATTGTTTAGCCATGTACATGTACCTTCAGTCATGGTTCATCGACTTTGAATATTTGCATAACTTACATGTTAAAGTATTGCTATTTTAATTTCAACATTTGCATTATCAAAATTACAAAAAGGCGAGACATATCTCTGTGATAACAGTTTATTATTTATGACGTCAATAAAGAATACAGGTTCGCGGAATTTTTATGTCGTCCGCTTAAAATTCAAAATGTTGGTTTTTACCCTTAATTTATCATTTGTAAGAAATTTCATTGTTGCAGTATTCTTCCTGTTTCTAAGCCTTGTACAAATAAATTTTATATTTTGAGACAATGTTAGGTTATTCTCTATATATACATACATTAAAAATAAGAAGAAAACCCACATGCTATAAAATATATCATGTTTCTTATTAGTTTCTACTATACAATATAAAGGGTAAGTCTTTAAATAAATTAGGTACAAGATCTTATAATAGTTTTGCATCTTAGTGTTATTCATATCCAAAAAAAGTGACAAGATGGGTTTTTTTTTTATTTCTCAAGTATGGAGTTATTTCCTGACATAGGCTGAGTTATTTATTTTCAGCTTTTTGCCAGGAGTCCAGGACAAGTTAAACTACAAACCTGTGCCAACTCTACATAAAGTTCCCCAGCTTAATTGAACAGCTTCACACATCAGTGCAGACATTCCACGTTGTGCTTTACTGTTGGAGGTTGTCGGGTGTCTAACAAAGCCACACCTTACTTTTGGCCTCCATCCAATTCCATACTGATATCTGTGAGCAGGGCATACTGAAATCCCGTGGTCAGTTTCAGGTCTCCATTTCCATATCCCAGCACGTAAACAAAGCAACTCCCCCTCTGATTTCACCGACTTTTCACCCATGTTACACGCTCTCAAATGTCCAACAATGCTCTTATTACAATTCTTTATAAGTTTTATACAAATTTCATTTGAAAATTTGCTGGAAAGGCCACAGTCCCCCTCAAAATATTTGTGGAGGGAACACTTCCCCAACTCATCCATGGGGGCAGCCATCTTGTTACTATAAAAATAACAACAGTAGATCGCCCCCTATGACAAAGGGAGATAATTTTGATAGTTTTGGAGGCAAAATTTGAAAATTTTTTTAATGAATTTTTCAGAAATAAAGGATTTGCACAAAATTTTGACGCATCTTATAAATATAGTTTACCATTATAATTTTTATAAAATCAAAATATTTTATGTAATAAAAGGGGTTTGATGTTTATTGGGTGATGAATTATGGCACATTTCTAAAGGATATCACTATGATTATACATAAAATACAAAGCCCAATATTTTTTCAAATACATTATTATAGAAGAAAAAAACCTGGGTATAAGTTACTAGCAATCCATATTTCATTTTAAGCATGCAACCACATACATTTGTTCTGACCCATGTATCACCATTTCATTGATGGCTGCATGATTTTTACAAGGAGCCCTACGCCCTACTTAAGTCTTTCCACTTTTCCGTGAGAAGACCTACTGATTATGTTCTGATTATTTTGTTTTCTTCCGTCACTTTTATATCTTGCGAGAAGATTTTGTTACACAAGCTGCCGCTTTATTATTTGGTATATGATATCGAACAGGTAATACGCTTTGAATCTGACACCGTTAGAGTTTATCTCCCCATACACCGTTTGTCTTGTGTTTACTGTCCTTCGCAGCCATAAAAGATTTCGAAAACATTTTTTTCCAAAATTGCTCGTTATATCCTCAGGAAGTCGAGAATAATTTTGACCGAAGTTGTCTGTATATGAGAGTTATTCCCCCTTATGTATATGATATAAGTGATATGTATTTTTAACTGGTGAACCATAACTGATAGAGACCAGGGTCTTTTGATTTGGGGTTCTTGGTTTACCAAAAGAAAATGAGGTCAAGGTCAAAGGTCAAGGTCAAAGGTCAAGGTCATGTTCTAAATTTTGATTTTGGCCTATTGTCACTTCTTTTTAAAAACCGTAAAACATATCGAAATTTTTTTTTTTACTAAATTGTTAGTTGCGACATGTTGTAGCACATTCATTTTGGATGAAAGGGTACGTTGACATTAAATGGGAGTTTTCTCCCCTTTTATATTAAGAATAATGTATATGTTTATAAAACTAATTAACCATGCATTATTAAGACCTAGGGTCTTTTAATTTGAAGTCCTTTCTTTATGACCTTGAAATTGAAACAAGGTCAAAATTTAATTTGACATCCTAAATTTTGACCTTGACTGTAACTTATTATAAGTACATGATAAAGTCATAAGGTCTTTTATATTGGGTTGCATACCTTTGATTCTGATGGTCAACTAGAATTGACTTTTTGTGAATAGACAGTAGCCATTTTGGCATTATTTTCATCAGTGTGATAATCAAATGAAACCGAAAGTAAAATTTTGTAAACAGGAAGTGCCTACCTATCGACTTATTTTCAACAAAAAAATATAGAAATCTTATATTTTTAGAATCAGCATTAATTACGCCGTTATCTGACACAATGAATGACATTTCAAACCGAAAGTGAATATTTTCCTATCGAAATACGTGCATTTTTGGTGTAAAGACCTTCAATTGTTTTGTGAACAATTGGTTTTTAATTTAGATACATTTCTTTTCCAAAGAAGAATTTATTAATGTTAAGATTTATTTACTATGCAAGATACGATTCTAATTTATGTAAATGGGATAAAACAATGAACTTCTATAGAATAAAATCCCTTGTGATTCAAAAAATTGTAGCCGCACCAGTAAACAAATAAAAACAAAACAAACAAAAAACAAAACGAAACGAAAAAAGACACATCCGCATAATATTCGTTATATTATCATGATTATTTGATCAATTTATTTAAGTAAAATTGGATTGTTGATCTAAAAATCAAGCTTTTAAGGTACCTGAGGTGTCTAAATGTTCGACGATAGATTTTTTGTAATCTTCTGTAAAAGACTCCTGGGTTAATGCACTATTAAATTTCAATATAAAAACTGGGGGTCACGTTCATTTTTTTCTTTAAAAAACATTGAAATTAACGAAATTTGGGTTATTTTGTATTGTTCATTCCTTTTCGAGGAAATATTAAACCATAGAATTGGCTAAAATTTGATGAGAGAACTGCTTTTTATAAATACTTCTGAAATATCAGATAAAAATAGGGGTCACGAGCCTTATTTTCTTGAAAAATAAAAAAAAACAAAAAAAACACACATTGTCCTATCAAATTCAGTATAATTATCTGCCCTAAAATTTAAAAGGATTTTTTCTGAAAATTTTAAACGTTCTTTACGACACTCAACTTTTTGATAGTTTAATCTTTCGATTTCAAGTTTTGAGTATTTTGTTGTATATTGAATGTTACTTGGTAAAACAATTTTGAAACTAAAAAGTATTTTTGCAACATGCTCTAAAGGGATGCTCATAAAAAGAAACCCGATCTACCTTAAAAAGATAATCGATAGATTTATTTTTAGTACCCAAACATGTGAACGGAAATTTCTAATATTACTAAAAATTGTTATTCGGAAAATACCGCTTTCAAAAATACTTTAATTAGAGCTCACACTGTCCATAAGTTAAATCACAAAAATACTGAACTCCGAGGAAAATTCAAAACGGAAAGTCCCTAAGTACGTCTTTTATTTCACAGTTGCATAGAAAGCTTATGAAAAAATTTGTCTTCTGCAAACGGAAATATTGGTTCAACCAAACATTCGAATATCACTAAGTAGTTTGTTGTGATAAAATATTAGAATATTAACGATCACTTTAAATGTTAATAGAGGGTCAAACAGACAAATAGGGTAAATCTATTTTTAGTACCAATGAAATTGGAAATCTTTAATATTTTCAAAAAATTGTTATTCGGAAAATACTGATTTTGTGAAAGTAGTTTGAGCTAACACAGACCGGAAATACGTCTTTTGATTTACATCTGTGTACACAACTAATGAGCAAATTAAAGTACCCTTCAAGAAATGCATATACAGGATTGATCGACCAAACAGTCAAATTTCAATAAGGAGATTGACGTGATAAAAAGCAAATGAACAGAGCGCAAGAAACAATAAGCTATTTACGTAAACATAAATCAATTTATCGATTATTTTAAAATAATGTGTTCTGTCTGCTAAGTACCGAACGTGACCTATTCCCAAATATGATGTGTCTCGGTATTTTGTACATCCAACATTTATGTATTTATTTTTGATGTTTTTGTTATGGTTTCTGTTGAATAATGTGTTATGTCGTATCGTTTGTTGTCCAAATAATTATAAAATTGCCTTTCCATACCATCATTGGCATATTCTCGAATATGACTGTTATACTGAATGTGAATTTGCATTGCTGTGCGGCGTGTCTCGGTGTTTTTGTACATCCAACATTAATGGATTTATTTTGATGTTTCTGTTATGGTTTTGGTTGGATAATCTGTTATGTCTTATCGTTTGTAGTCCAAATAATTATAAAATTGCCTTTCCATACCATCATTGGCATGTAAATTATTTGGACAAACATTGTGAAAATAATTGTATAATGTTCGAGATTACATGTTAGTTACGTAAGCGCGTCACTGTTTTTGAAATCCTATGGTGTTTTTCTTTGATGGAATATGTTCGTTGTTATTCTATGGTTTGCATGTTGTGTCGACTATAATATTATTTGTGTGTGCGTTTCTCTGTTATGAATGTTCTTGCGTGTTTTCGTGCTGTATTTCTGTCACGTAGTGTTAAGGGATATTTTTTAACATTGTCATAAAGCGGGAGGTTTATCATGCCATGAAACCAGGTTCAATCCACCATTTTTTCTTAAATGTCCTGTACCAGGTCAGGAATATGGCAGTTATTATCAAATAGTTCGTTTCTATGTGTGTTGGCGTTTGTTTTTGTTGCACTTCGGTGTTCCTGTTGTTCATTTGTTTTCCTCTTATAGTTGATGTGTTTCCCTCGGTTTTGGTTTGTAACCCGGATTTGTCTTCTCTCAATCGATTTATGACTTTTGAACACCGGTATACTACTGTTGCCTTTATTTAGTAATGCATTTAAAATGTAGTTGGTTACCTCAATAGTTTGCTCCGTGGCGTAATTTTTTTTCAATCATTTTGCTGCATATATGAACCAGACATTTTATATCTGAATGTCATAGTATTGTTCTATATTTAAATGTCAACTGTGAGTTCCTGGGATAGAAATTCTGACTCTGATAAAAACTTAAAATAGGATTTTGTATTTCTCCTGATTATTAAACTCAGTTTCGGTTATTTATCATTATCTGTAAACGATAAAAACATAAAAATTACCTAGAACACGAATCACAGTAGATTTAATCTTCACCTAAACGCTTGACAACCGGATAGCATCGTATATCTTTACCTAGACGAGATTGTTTCAAATATGTTCGACACAAAATCCACATTGTGAAAATCTATTGCATTTTTCATATTCATTAACTACGTTTTGATCAGAGGGTATTATTGATCTTATATTTTTTTGTAAGTATATAAAACCAGAATATAAAATCATTCACGCAAGGTTTAATGTTTTGATAAACCTTTATCATGTTTATCTTGTATACATTTTAAACTCCTCTGCACTCTGAACTACTAATAATTTTTTTTACAGGTAAAGTGGAACTTTTTCAAAACTATGTTGCGTAACAAACCAGAATAAACTATGTACCATCATACAAGTAAAGTGGGAGCACGTGCAATATTGAAATCTTATCACATTAAGCAATCGGATAGCAGAAAGGGCGACGCACACTTTGGTAATGAAACATATGTGACAAGAATGGGGCCAACAAGATCCAAAGATAAGACCGCAAAGAACAATTACATCGGTGCAATAAACTATTGGGAACATCACAGAGACCTAAGTCATGATAGCACTCTCTCTTTATTATAATGATCATAATAGGAAAACACTTTACTCTTTATTAACAGTAAACAGTAATAAATACATCCAAAATTAACAGAGCCATTATTATCAATATAGTATTAAGAAATGATTTTAATGAATATCA